GAGTAGAAGTTCACCCCTTATAGTACAAGTAGGGAATGTCAGTGTACCCGTGCGCGTAGATGTTTTCCTACCATCCCAAATAATTGTGATGTATAGATAGCAACCGTCGTGCCAATGGAAGAATATTGGTCAGAGGCAAGTAAGCATCTTTCCACCTCAGATAGTCGTAAATTAGATCACTGACTACTGTGCCAAGAGATGATATTAATGGTACTCCTATAATAGATGTGAATGTTAATAGCAAAAAGTAAAAGTTAAAGACTAAATCTTAAAGTGTACAGTTAAAGTTCATGTATAAATATATTCAGATTATTGTCAAAATAAATGTCGTGAATATATACATTAGATTATTATAAGATTTTTATAGAAATATGAAAGACCAACAAGCATATAATTTTCTTTTCCTTGGATTACTGTAGTTCAGAAGTGTGATTGCTCATGGGTTATTTTTAGATAGCTCGTATTTTTTTAGCATTTTTCAGGCTTTAAGCAATTGAATAAGATGAATAGAAGAGAAGCTAATGTTTATAAAAGGAAAGAACAGCACCCAGAAAGGTAGAACTTTTACTTATTAACTGAATTATTTTCTTTAGTCTCTTTCATGAATATTTGAATATTAAACTGTCAGTTATAAAATTAAAATAATAAAAAATTATTTTTCGTTGTCCGTCCATGCCTTAATTAATTCTAAGCTCTAGCCCAGATCGTGACAGTAGACAAGAAGGCACAACCTTATTTACCCCTAATTTATCCTATTCCTCAAAAACAAGCAGAAAATTTTCTATTTCATGCATTGCTGCAATCATTATCCCCTCAGAGCCTATCACCAGTTGTTTAGGAATGGCACTTCCCAATAAGTTTCCAAGCAATGTTCCTTACCATCTGCAATCCGTTTTTCTTCCAGTCAACAAATCTTTCATGCTTTCTATCAATAGCCTATGATCTTGACAAGCCTAAAGCAATCTGTCACTTTAGCTTCATGCAAGGCTTCAGCCGACAAACTTTTAGTTGCTTGCATCCACGACTAGGGAGGTGAAGCTCCTACACTCCACGTTAGAAGCTGTCTTCAGCAGTCATGCAAGAGGCAGAATTCCAACACAGGGGCAGTAGCCTTCACTTCACTATTCTTGAACTGAATCTAAAAGTTAGCCAGCAAGAAGAGGAAAGGAAAAAATAGAAAAGGAAGGTGGAGGGTAAGGACTATGAGATGATAGAAACCACCAGAAGAGAAAAGTGAATTGGATTGTCTACGGATGTATTTCTAGCCATACCTCAAGGAAATTTTTAAACTAAAATTTGCACAAATAACCCCCGATACAAGGAAAGCAAAAAAGACATTTACAAGTAAACTAAAAGAATTGAAGGACTAATATAGCAATCTTCATTTTGTTTCTTTAATTCATCAAGATCTAAGAAACAAAATCAGGATATATCTCATTGTCCCTACAACCCCAAGCAATGTTGCAATTTGAGGAAACAAGGGATTTTGTCAACATACTTGATAACCCATTAACAAATACTTCCTTTTCCATCAACAACTACTCGATGAAATGAAACTTCACATCTATATGCTTAGTTTATTCATGCAATCTATTGAGAAAAAGTAAATCACTTTAATTATCATAAATATAGACACCAGTAAAAGCCTTGGCTTAAATAATTTGGAAGTGAAACCTTTCAACCATACCTCTTTTATGGCTTCAAATGCAGCAATGTATTCAACATCAGTTCTAGAAAAAAAGTCACAAATACATGCAAGTTTTCCCTCAAACTAATAGTGTTTCCAAACACCTTATATACATAACCTGTAAGAGATCTTCAAGTATCAAAACATCATGCAAAATTTGAATCTCCATATCTGATTGCAAGATAGTTCAGAGAATCAAATTTTTAAAACCTTAATTCTGAGGACATGGTTCAACTTAAGCATGCAGCTTCCCAATCACGTATCATTAAATCATCCATAAACCTGCTTATGATACTAAAATAGTAAGTAAAATCTGGCCTACAAAAAATCAAAACATGTGACACCACTCACAGCAATTTACTAGGTAATCTTCTTCAAATATTCAACATGATCACCTTGTACTTGATTTTTGCTCAATGTAAAATGTTGTGCTAAAGGTGTGGAAACAGGTTTAGAAGTTGTATCCTATACTTGCTTGCATTTTTTTTTTATGTATGAATTGAGATAAGCAATTACCACTTCTCTTTTTTTTTAATGTTCTCCGTTCCTAAAATTTTCATAGAACTTGGCAAAACCATGATCCTTCATCCCAAACATTACCCTTAGCAAAGCCTTCAATCTTGTGATTTATTCTAATCTAGCACTTGCAGGTAGTATATCATTAAGTTAATAAAAGATAAATAGTGCTAGTAACATCCTTGGATTTTAGAATATACAAGAATCATAAAAGCTATGAGTGAATTCAATACCAAATATATACTCATCAAATTCTTTATACCATATTCTTGAAGATTGATTCGATCCACATAAATATATATTAGGTAAAAATACCTAATTTTCAGTTTCAATTTCAACAATTTCTTCAAGTAGATAGTCTCCTCGAATTCAATCTCCTAAATTTTCCCCATCATACAATTAGATATGTAGCTTTGTTATTTCCAAAGAACATTAGCTTGTATAATTCTTCAAGCCCATTTGGGCTTACATTTCAAAATCCTTGATACCAAAACTTGGTTTCATCAACATGATCATAAGGCACGCAATCGTTTTACTCTTTTACTTTTACCAAGCAATGTACGCATTCCACCCATATGAATGCCTTTCAAGATGATTAAAGAGCCTTTCCAAAGCTTCAAGCTTCCATCATCACATTTGCATAGAAAAATCAAATTTATTCTGAACTCAAAATGATACCTTAGATTCTTGAGCCATTTTTTCAAGCCATCAAGAAGACTGCCTTGAATTGCTCCTACAGCTTAAACTAGGCATGGCTTGTTTTCAAGATGCATTGTGCAACATTTGGCACATATGATCGAAGCATCTCAAATTTAGGATCCACTCCTTAACATCTTTCCTCCATTGTCATCGCATCTCCTCCACCTCTAAACCTTTCTTTCTCTTCCTCACATTACTTTTTGAAATAACCTTCTTTATAACAAAAAAAACCATTTCCTACTTGCTTTTTTACCAAAATCTTGATTGGTTATTAGACTATTGCTATTATTTTCTTGATCTTTGCAAAGTTAGCCCTTCTGTTGGTAATAAATTTTATAGAATAATTGCTTGATATTCATCATCTATTCTTAAACCGGACACTTGTATACAATAGACATCATAGGATCATGTACAAGAAACCTTTTGTAAGACGATAAATTCAAGAACCTATGAAACAATTTGCAAATGATAAAGAATCTAGAAATGCTAAGATTACTCTAATAAATAGGGGAAAAAATTTTCGGGAACTTCTAATACCACCCTTTCCAATGTCTAATTTACATTGTCCGAATTTGCCCAAGTTTGTTGTGATGTTATTCCAATGGATGTGAACCATTTACTTTCAAAACAAACTTGGCAATACCATTAGGAATACCATCAACGATGGGTACAATAATAGGTTATACTTCAAGGCAAGAATGGAAGAAGGCAGAAGGTGGTGTTGATTCCTAAGAATGATGATAGTGAGAAGGATGCTAGAGTTGATTTGATAGTACGCAAATCAATGTTCATTAGAGTTATGCAACGAGCACCATCTACGGACACTCTAATAATGATAGAAAGAAATCGAGGAAAATATATACCTTATGAAGTTTAATCTTTGCTACGATAATATTATGATTTATTTCCCAACAAGTTGCACATGGGTTTTCCACCTCAAAGGGATGTCTAACATATAATAGATTGTCCACAATGCTATTATTTCGCATTGTCCAACCTAAAGGATGAAACCCAAAGAACATAAAGAGCAAAAATACCGAGTAAAAGAACTCCTTACTAAAGGTTTGATTCAAGAGAGTGCTATCCCTTGTGTAGTACATGCCTTACTACTTCCAAAAAAAACCACAAAAAAATGTGTATTGATAATAAGGCAATAAATAAATTTGCCATTAAATAGAAATTCTTGATTTTTTGATTTGATGATCATTTTGATTGATTGTATGCATCTAAGATTGACTTTCACAGCCATTATAACCAGATATGAATGAAGCCAATAGATGAATGAAAGAAAATTTTAAAACACAAGATGGAATGTAGGAGTGAACTGTGATGCCATTCTGCCTATCAAATGCCCCCAACATGCTTATGCACCAAATGATGCAAGTATGTCGATTGTTCATCAATCAGTCTTCAGTTGCATACTTTGATGATATCCTAATGTATAGTTATAGTTTAGAGGATCATTTACATCACTTACAATAACTTTTGAGATTTTAATACAAAAATAAATTGTATGAAAATCCGTGTAAATTCCTTGCAAACAAAATTAATTTCCTTCGATATGTTTATGCACCAAGCCAGAAGCATATATAAGGGGAAAGTTCCAGCTATCATGAATTGGCCTTATCCTCAATCGTTTATTGATGTTCGGGGATTCCATGGTTTAATCTCTTTCTATCATTGATATATTATAAATTTTAGTTCGAAAGCTGCCCCATTAACCTAGATATTTAAGTAAAAAAAGTTTATGTGAACACCGGCAATCTAATCACTTTTGGAAAAGCTTAAACAACTAATCACCAATGCTAGTAACCATGTTACCCAGTTTCAATTATGTTTTTGAAGTAGACTGTGCTGTGAATGTGGGCATTGGCACCATTTTGAATCAAAATGGACATCTAGTTGCCGATTTTAATAAAAAGTTACATGTAACTTGACGCAAGTATTCCACATATAAAAAATAAGTAAATGCCATAGTTTGTGTTTTAGAACACTGGAACCATTATTTATATGAATGAGTTCAAATCCATATCTCTAAAATAGAAATGTAAAGCAGAACTGCAGAACATTAAAAACAGGGAAAGAAGGGGCGACTTACAGTTCATAAGCAGCAAACAACTGAGCGTCATCCTTTGGCATGCTGCAGATAAAAGAAGTGAAAACTTCAAAAAATTAATGTCATCAAAGAAGATTCTGAAAGGAAAAGAAACAGAAGAAGACCTGTAAAAGATGTAAAATAGTGTCCCTAGATGAAACTTTGCAAAATGCCCCTGCTGCATTAGAAGATGTTGTTCAGTGCTAATAATTAATAGAACAAAATTCTAAAATATCTATTAAAGGCATTACTGGAAGCCGTTCTACCGTTAATGTTGGAGGTGGTTTAGAGTTATAACAAGTTGGAATGGAATACTCAGACTCTCCTTTGGCTGGCTCATCAGACCATGGGGAACTAAATTTCTTGTGCAAATCACCTGGAGGGCTTAATAAATTCAATCCCAGAGTTGTGAGATCCATCCCCATAGCAAGGGATGTGAGATTTGGGTCGTTTCCCCTGATTACGCCCAACAAACCCAACAAACCAAACCTCTCAGATATTTGTGTTCCTTGCACAGACTTCAAGCTATGATCTCTATATGACTGATTAATAACAGACATCTGTTGCAGACGAAGTTGAGATTGGCTATGCGGATGTTGATATTGATGAATAAGTTGATCATAAGGTCCAATGCCTGATGCTGGGTTTTGAGCTGGGTTTTGAGAACTCAACGTTCTTAATCCAATACTAGGCGTATTCTGAACCTGAATATTAACAAAGAAGCTGCTATTAGCTGAAATGTAGAAAAAATGAGTACGAGCCTGATTCTACAATATTAGAGTGTTAATTTGAGAAGCATACCTGAGATTGATAGGCTCCATGTGAAGATGGAAACAAATCAGAGCCATATAGATGGAGAAGGTCTTGACTGTTTCCAGATGCTAATGAGACACCTGTGGCAGTACTGACAGGAGTAACGTGCTGCTGATGATGCTGACGAGTTGATGGATAGGCCCCTCCATGGGTGAATCCAGTTGAACCACCCATCTGCATAATAGAAAAAATATGTTATGATCAAAATAACTAGAATAACCACAACTATTAGAAGTCAATCTAGCATAAAATTACACTTACGGCAAAGTTTTGTGATTGCATTACAGACACATTTTCATGCGGTTGCTCCTTCTGATGTAAATCCATTGCAAATTCTGAGTTTCCACCTACACAAGATAATACCATAATATACAGCAAATATGAAGTCAACTAATAAGTAGCATTAGTAACAAACAATCACAAAAAGCAGTGCAATACAAACTGAAAAATTAATACTGAAAAACACAAAAGACTCGATAAGCTTCAAAGAATAAGAGACGTGTGAGGTTCTAAACCAGTAATCTTCTTCTAAAGATCAACCAAAATATAAAATAATTTCTACAGGATGTATTTCTAACAAAGCGGCCCTTTCTTCAGATATTGATGATAAATTTATTCCCAGTAAATGAATGTGAAGGCTGGAGACTGAATGCCAAACATTCCTTAGTAAATGAAAGATCACTCCATTCTAATACATACTGGGACAGATCTTTACCAAAATTAGTAACAGCAACTACATTGGACGGTTATCACAGCCCAAACCCGGTTCCCAAAACAACCCATCTGGAACTCAACCAAAACTTAGGGAAGACCATTCAAACAACCTAAAAATGAAATCATCGACCAAGCCCAACTCAAATTATCCCATTTCATGGAGTCGGCCAATGAAGTTTCCTATTGACTCGATACTCGCAATTCAATATGATCAAATGCGACTTCAAAAATAACAATAGATGCAGCATCATGCAAGATAAAGTCAAGACATCTTGACTAGAATCGAAAAAGCGTTCGCAAACTCCTATGTCGTGGAATTTGTTGCACAAAAAGGACAAATTTCACCAGCACACAAGGCAAAAGCCAAATCTAGACGCATAAACAACAAGAATTCATAAGGCAAACAATAAAATTGGCATGCAATTGTTGAAAATTTTTTTATATTATATTATTATAATATATTTAATAATATAATATAATTTAAATATATTATATTTATTTATATAGTATGTCTATTTACTTTTCTTAAATTTTATTAGAAAACAAAATCATCTTATCAAACCTGTCTAATCCCAAAAACCCAGCATCATGTATGCTCCTTTGACATTGCATGACCATATAATAAAGCACCATGTGAGTCACATCGCAATTCAAAAGATGAAAAAAAAACATAAAAATTAAACCTACCAGCTTAACCGCATAACTATCCAACTCAGACTCCCACTTTTGGTCCCTCTCCAGCACGCTTGCATCTCCCTAGAGCCATGATCTTACCCTCTTCCTCTGTCGGTTTCCACAGCACAAAATCTCACATTTTCTGCCGAAAGTAGCACACACACACAACTCTTCCATCCCTCACTCTTTGCACCACAATTCATTGAACCAAGCCATTGTACGGCCAAGTTGCCCAATGCCAATCTTTGATCATCAATCTTATCATCTCAAACATACCTCTACAACAAATTAACAGCAGCAACTCTTCCTGCTAGCACATTGTCTATAGATTCAGCCAAGCACCAACAACGACTTCTTTGATGACCACCAAAATCTACCACCTTCATTCAACCCACTCGCATCCACATTCAAATCCCCAAACTATCATTTCCCTAAATATTCTAAACTCAAGCTTTGTCGGCAATTACCACCTGCCCTCCAAGTCAATCCTCTAGCCACCTGCACAGGATGCCATCAACTTGTACATCCAAGCCTACAACAACCTTTGACAACCCCTCTTTAAATCACCGACTCTCCCTGATGCGGGGCTCGGGAGAGCACCAACCGGTCCTCATGGAAGGGTGGACTGCCTCTCCCTCCTTCCTCTTCCCTCCATTCCTTTTTCCTCATTTCCTTTTTCCTTCCTTTTCTTCTTCTCTTATTTTCCTTCCTAGCACTTGCATATTTTAAAACATTCCCTAAAACTGAATTTTGATTTTTATTCTCCTCCTAATTTAAAACCTTCACTAAAAGTTTAAATTCTGATTTTATTCTCCTTTCCTAATTTAAAACACTTCCAAAAAACTAAGATCTGATTTTATTTCTTTCCCTATTTTAAAAACCTTGCCTAAATTCTGAAATATGATATTATTCCTTTCTTATTTTAATATTTCCTAAAAATAAGTCAAGTCTTTTATAAATAGAAGTTCTTATGTATAGGGTAAAGGGTCTTGGTTTTTTTATGAAATTTAAATTCATTTTTTCTAAGTGTTTTCCCTCTTGAGGGTTATATCCGACGTAAAGATAGTGCTTCGGCTATCTCTTATTTAAGGTGGTGGTCGTCTCCATGGGTCCGAGTGGTACTTCATTTGTATCTTGACCACACCAAGATACTTATCTATGCTTCTGTCATTCCCGTTGATATCCACCCGCTCCACAACCCTTCGACAGCCCCGCTGCTTCATCCAGACCACCTCCCTACAAGTTGCCACATATCTACTACCCTTCCAGCCAACCCGCCGGCAGTTGTCCGCCTCCCTGCTGTCAACTCTTCCAGGTTATTGCCAGCTCTTCCAGGTTGTTGCCAGCCCCCTTAAGGCCTCCCTGCTGCTCTTCCATGCTGTTGTCAACTCTTCCAGAAGACCTCCCTGCTGCTTTTTCAGGTTGATGTCATCCCTCCTACGGCCTCCCTGCAGCCCTTCCAGGTAGCCGACAGTTCCCTGCAGGATACCACAACCCCCCTATTGTCCTCCCCGATCACTACTCCAGCACTCCCTCTCCAAACTCCCTCCTCGTCGAGCTTGTGTTACTTTAATTGTTGAGTATTTGTTGTAATGTTTGTCTTGTGTTTTGATTTATGGTGTGTCTTTTCATTTTCTCTCGAGTCGTTGTTGTAACCGTCCGTTTAAATTATTGTTAAATTCGTGTCTTGCATCATTGTTTGGGTAAACTCTGGTATCATTTGGTATCAGAGCTGGTAGAATCCTAATCCAATCCCAGAGTCCCTAGCATCTGCCCCTACCCAATCCATCATACCAAATTTTTTCTCTTCTTCCTTTTTCTTTCTCTTTTCTTCCACATATTTCAAAAACATTAAGCATGCCTCCAAGGAGAAATATGCTCGAGCCTACCCGGGAAGAGATACAGCGAGAATTCCGTCACCTCAAACAAAGAATTACGGAAATTTGTTTCATTAACTACCAAATAGATAAATAATATGACCCGTTCATTGGCTTATTAAGATTCATTGATTTTTTCAAACAAGCTATTCGATAATCACAATATGAACCAAACACAAGCCGAATTCAAACAAAACTCAAACAACCATGAATTTAAATGAGCTATAAGCTTAAAAACAATCACAAAAGCTTCAACTTGAGCTCGAACTGAAATTTAATTAAGGAAGTTCAAGCAAACTCATCCTCAGCTCAATTCATTTACTTAGCAGGCTAATTTAAAATCACAAACTATCACAACTTTATCGACCTTAGAAATAAAAGATGCATACGGAGTTGCATAAACACAAACTTAAAATCAAATGACTAGTATTAAACTAGAAAAAAAAATTCCAAAGGTAAAATGCGGAAATAAACAATGGATGAAGAAGCCAAGAAAGAGAAAGGATGTTATATATGTTGGGCTTAAGGGGAATCACACAATCCATTACACTCTAAAGAAAATCATGGGGGATACTCATTTGGCCAGAACCTTACGTATAGTGATATTATGGAAATTTCTGATAATCAAAATAAAATAGGCATCATTTCTAATTTCGATGGAAAAAAACCAAGAACCTTTATAACCAGGCAAAGCTGGAAAATCTTCATTCTGGATGCTAAATTCCTGATTTTGTTGGACGATTGAGCTTACTCCAAGACCTTGTTTCCTCAAGGAACCTACATTTCAAAAAGATCATTGGAATCTTTAACAAGTACACAGCAAATGATAAATAAGTACAAAAGCAAGATGGTGAGTCACCCAACTGACCCTGAGGACCTCCAGCTGAATTAGGGCGCCCAGTTAATTGAGGAAAATCATTTATGTCGAACGGAGAGCCATCATTTGAGTTGACATCATTTAGCATTCCCATAGAGCTTAACAGATTATTCCCTCCTTGCAATTGCCTAGTAATTGGTCCGCTGGATATGTTATAAGAGTTTCTAATCATTCCCATCATATGAGGAGCTGTTAATCCAAGAAAAATTTCATCTTTAGTAGAAGAACATAGTTTCTACCACACCAAAGCAAGATGTTAACTGACTCTAAGACAAGAAAATTTTCCAAGGGAATGGTGTATATGTCTTCCACATTAAGTTTGAAAAAAAATGAAGAAATCCCAAGTATAATAAGTTATATGCTCAACACAAATAAGAACTTAATTCAGAAGTTTAGGATTCTATTGCAGGGTAATCTAGAAAATGAATGGTTAAATGAACAGCGCAACAGTAAAAACTTCATGCCCAATTTTTATATGAAAAGGAAAAAAATAAATGAAGTCATCACAAGCTCTATCTAGAGGAAAAACAGTGAGTGGCCAACAAGATATTGCTCATTACCACACTTTTCAAGAGAGCAACGCAGATTCATTAATATGCAACAGCTGATAAAATATGTATTGAATGCTAACTTAAAAATAGTAACACAATGCAGTTCACTATTCATATTACAATGTTTAGGGACCAAGCATGCGATTTGCCAATGAATACTTTCTAAGCATGGTGAGTGGTATGGTAAGTCGTAGGATCTAATGCCAAGTTATGATATCTTAAACAATGCGCTAGCACACAAGAATTCATAATACACCAACTATTAATCTACAATAATGGACTGTTTTAAGGAAAACAAAACACGATAGAAATCAATTCAAACTATCGCCTTCTCAAAAAAAACTAAGTATAATTAAGTATCAAAAAACCCTCACAACCCACACACAAGCGAATAATAGGTAGAAATCCACACTTTAACAAATTTTTTACTGAGACTAGAAAATTTTCTTCCTTTTTCACAATTGAAAGCATATGATACATATTTATATACACTCCTATCTCTATATATTAAAAATATTTCTAATCTAGAAAAGATCATGTAATTAGATGTCCTCTAATTAGGTTACCTAATATCAAGCTTCCAAATATAAAACCATTAGATTTAATATTTTTCATAACACTCTCCCTCAGGCTGGAGCATAGATATTTATCATGCTCAGCTCGTCACAAATATAGGTGACACTAACTCCATTAAGAGCCTTGGTGAAAATGTCCCCTAGTTGTTCATCAAGCTTTACATGAGTTGTAGAAATCAAATTTTTGTTAATGTTTTCACGAACAAAATGACAATCTATCACAAGCTATTAGTTCATTCATGAAAGAAAGGGTTTGAAGCAATATGAGTTGCCACTTGGTTATCACACCACAGCTTTGTTAGAACTGTCACCTTAAAGCCCATTTAGATCAGGAGTTGGGAGACTCACATCAATTCACTTGACGCTTGTGTCATTGCTCAATACTCAGATTCTGCAGTAGATCATGATACCAAATTTGTTCTTACTCTTTCATGAGACAAAATTACCACAAACAAAAACCTGAAATCCAGTAATAAATCTTCAATCAATCTTGGAACTTGTCAAATCTGCATTAATAAAACATTCAATATTTTTATGCCCATGATTCTGATACAGAATCCATTTTTCAGGAGCTCATTTGAGGTAACATAGTATCTGTTCTAGAGCTGACCAATGATGGGTTTTGGGGAAAGATATGAACTAACTTATAATGCTAACTGAATAAGTAATGTTAAGGCGAATCATTGTAATGTAGTTTAATTTTTCCACTAACTTCCAATATCATTCAGGATCATTAAAAAGTTCTCCATCCCTTGTAAGTTATTGATTAGGAATCATCGGAGTACAACATTTTTTGACTTCTAAATTCCATGTTTCTGCTAACAAATCCAAAACATAGTTCTGCTAATGTAAAAAGATACATTTCTTGCTCCTTGATACCTCAATCCCCAAGAAATACTTTAACGAACCCAAATCTTTAGTGTTAAACTTCTTTTAAAAAAATGACTTTAATGATAAGATTTACTGCACATTGTTTCTAATAATAATAATGCCATCAACATACACCGACAATAGAAAAATCCCGGAAGCAAATTGTTCATAGAATACAATGTAACCAATTTTACCATTTTGCACCCCAAACTATTCTACTGCTTGATTAAATCTTACAAACCATGCATGAGAGCTTTGCTTTAACCCAAATAGTGACTTATGAATATGATGTACTTTCCCAGGCTCCTCCTAAGCAATAAACCCACGAGGTTGCTTCATTAAAAGATCACCATGCAGAAAGGCATTCTTCACATCAAAATGGTGCAGGGAAAAAGTATTCATTGCAACCAAAGACAGGAAGAGGCGACCCAAAACAACTTAGCTACCAGAGAGAATGTGAACAAATAGTCAATCCTATAAATTTGAGTATAACTTTTAGCAACCAACTGAACTTTGAGACGAGCTACAGGTCCATCAGAATAAAACCTAACTGTAAAGACCCATTTACAACCAACAGTCATCTTGCCAGAGGGTAATTCAACTAGTTCCCAAGTTCCATTTTTAATTAAGGAATTTATTTCATCAAGCATCGCTGCCCGCCACCTTGAATGAGATAGGACTTACTGAACAAATCTCGGGTCTCGGGTCCTCCAACAAGGTCAAGGGAAGCAATAAACGAGCGAGTAAAAGATAATTGATCATAATTAACACATGAGAAAATAGGATAAGTGCATTGATGTTTACATTTTCAAAATGCAACAGGTAAATCAAGGTCAAGAGAAGAAAGATCAACTGAAGAAAAGGATATCGGTGTGGGACTAAGATCAGGGGGATTAGGTCTGCTTGAGTAAATATTGGTGATAGGTGGTTTAGGCTAAGGCATTGGTGGTGGAAGTAGAGTTGAATCGATGATGAGATACATTAAAAACTCATTTGAATCTTGTGAAGATTTGATAACAATGAGTCACCAAAGAATAGGGTTTGTTCATGCAAGCTGACATCAATGGAGACTGTGCCTATTTAAGAAGGGGAAAACATTGATATCCTTTTTGCATATGAGAGTATCATAGAAAGACACACGCTAATGACTTAGAGTCCAGTTTAGAAACTTGTGGACAAGTGTCCCGAACAAAAAAAGTACACCAAAGTATATGCTGTTCAGTGGGAAAGAGAGTTGATTGGAAATATAATTCGTGAGTCTGATTCTGTAAAACTGCAGAAGACATCTGATTGATCAAAAAAACTTGCAGTAAAAATTGCATCAACCCAAAACAATTTGGGTGCATTAGTTTGAAACAAAAGAGATCTAGTTATCTCAAGAGGATGTCTATTTTTCCTTTCCGCTACTCCATTTTGGGATGGAATATGAACATAGGATACTGGTGAAGCATCTCGTTTTATCTTATGTATATCTAAATATGTACAAAAAAATATTCTTTGGCATTTTTACTTCCCACAATCTTAATAAATATTAAATTGAATTTTAATTTAGCATAAACAATTAAAAATGTAACAATAACATAAAGAGAGATTTCATAAAGTTAAGCCAAGTTATAAGAGAAAGAACATTTGTGCGACAATATCGAAATTTATTAGATAAAATAGGTCAAGTACACATACATAATAATGAACCAACTGAAAAGTATAATTATTTTTTTTTATTAATTATGGGAACAAAAGACAAAGGATAGTATTTAGCAAATTAACATGACTCATAATTTAAAGATGATAATTGATGAGATTGAGGGTATAAATTTTTTAGCATTGATAGCAATGGATGCCCTAATTGATAATGGACATCAATTGGAGATAAAATACTAGACCAAGCTATGGGTCGAAATAGTTTATTATCGAAAAGGTATAGCTCCCCCAATTCTCATCTTTTACTAATAAAATTCTTCGTCATAAGAACATGAAAAAAAAATGATTAAGGAAGAATAAGACAACAATTAAGAGCATGTATAATCTTGCTAACCAAGAAAACATTAAGAGAGAATTGAGGTAAATTAAGAACAAGCATTGAAGAGTAGGTGTAACATTAATGGTGCAAGAACAAGCAATGGATAGAGGTAATTTGTTATCCAAGCTGTACAGCAACACCCCCCTGATTCCTATCATTTACAAATATTCTTCTTCATCAAAAGATCCTGAAAAGGACTCATCATAGAATCCTAAAAAAGACAATGGTCAGAGAAGCATAAGGTACAACAATTAATACATGTGTAGTCTTGTTAATAGAGAGAAAATTAGAAACTTGAGGTGAACTAAGGACAGTCGTTAATGGTAGTGTATGTGTAACATTAATGGTGTCAGAACCAAGAACATTAGAAGTAAATCCATCTACTAAGGTGATGGAAGAAAGATGATTATGAAAGGTAAAAAAGAGGTTTGGATTATTTGTCACGTTATTTGTAGTATCATAATCAATGACCCATTGTGTGAAAGAGGAAACAAGACAAGTATCATTGTTACCTGACTCAAGAAGGGTAGGACAGATAGAGATTTCTTGGATGTTTTCTAACATTCGGTGAATTTAAAATATTTATCTACAGAAATCGAGAGAGTCTGACTTTGAGATGCCTCATTAATAGTGACAATGTGAGCTGACTATGATCTAGAACCCTTCTGATTCTTTTTAGCAACTTCTGACATATTTTCTTCATATGAACAAATTCATGGCAATAGGAGAAAACTACCCTCGAGTCTTGATTTCCAGAATTCAGCGTTCCACTTCCATAATCTCCCTAATACTGAGATTTATTGATGTCCGGATTCAACAGGCTCAAAGAAAATAATTGGCTATTATGAGTTTTCTAGTTGATCTCAACACGGAGTATAAAAGTGTCAAATCTCAAATCCTAACTGATTCAGGAGTTACTACTCTGAGTGAAACCAATACAAGTGTTACGTACTATGCTAAGTTCTTAGGCTTCATCCCTACATCCTAGTGCTCCTGCTAGCCAAAAAGTTACATAAATCAGTAAATCTCAATATTAGGATAATTATAGAGGTGGAGCTCTGAATTATGAGTTCTTAGGCTTAATTCGTGCAGATGAAGTCGAACGACACAAACAAACACATCACAGGATGACGACTACCACACAAAGCCCTCGTGAAGCAAATAAAGTTGTTTGTGGCCTTGCAGGCGAAGTCATTCGAAGCAGAATAAGCACTAAGGAACGAGTCTAAGCCAAATACAAACAATTCCTAGAGGCTAACGTCGAAGACGAAACATATAGATGGGAACAATTCAACGAACCTCTGACTTCTTTTCTTCTTATTCTACAATTGGAAACATATGATACATAATTATATACACTCCTATCTTTATAGATTAGGAATATTTCTAATATATAAAAGATCTTGTAATTAAATCTACCCAAATTAGGTTACCTAATATCAAGCTTCTTGATATACAAACATTAGACTTAATACATTTCATAACACTTACAAACATGATAACATACATTAGAATAATGCTAATAAATAATGAATATAAATGACAAACTATATATTTATGTGTGTGTGTGTGTGTGTGTGTGTGTGTGTGGTTGTTTGTAGAATCGCAAACTTTAGAAATAAAAATAATTATGAATTGGTGATGCATCATTTTTCTTCAATAGATCAGGTCCCAACCTTGCTGAAGCATACCGCCAATCAGTCTATTCTGTCCTTGTAAACTCAAAGTCCCAGATCCGTTGTTAGCCGCCAAATTTGTTCTTGATGCAAGGCTGGAAATGGTTGGACCCCCAGTGTTTATGCTCCTTCCGATGTTGCCTCCAGCAGACATATTCCCTGCAGAACTTGGTATTCGAGGGCCTAGGTTACCCAAAAATTGATTGACTCCCATTCCAGGAATAGAATTGTGGTTGCCAACAGAAGCAGCACCAGAGGAAAACCCAGGAATGGAACCACCAACTCCATTTATATTGCTACTAAAACCAGGGTTTCCTGCAACACTGATGCCACCTCTCTCAGTAATCCCTGAGTGTCCATGAGAGATCTGTATGATAGAAAAATTAATGCATTGAAAAAGACTGCCAAGAAGGCTAACAAAGTGTTTAATTAGGCGGGGAAAAAAGCAAAAAAACAATGTATGATAAAATATAGAAATGAAAGAAACATTTCCATAGAGAAGAAGGGAAAAACAGATTAACTTACTTGAGACATGGCAATTGGAAGATTGTTTGATGAAAATCTTCCAGAGGAGATGCTACTCCCAGATTGTTGAAGACCACTTGAAGGAACAGCAGTCATAGCGGGATTCCTCGATGCTAGGTTTGGAAGAAAGTTTCCTTGCATGTTATGATGTAACCCTTGCATGCCTCATGTATATATAACAGTCAGTCATAAGATTTAAGAGAACGGCTACGAATGAGTCAAGCTCAAGCAAACTACTCACAGCCATGTATAATGAATGAGTTAAACTCTAAACTATGGTGGTTTGCATCGCCTAAACATGAATCAAAATTTACTCAATTTTAAATCAAGCCAGTTTCACTTGAGTTCAACCGATTCCAAATTGACTCAAGTTACAATGAATATAAAAGTAGGAGGGACGAATTAAGCAGTTGAATCCTTGCAGGCATTATAATGGATTCTACTAGATCCATTTTGGCCCAAAAGTCGGGTTTTTAGCAATGTTCTTATTAACAATTGAAGATGTCAAGAGTTGCTCACCAGAGTGATGAAAACTAGGAGCATTTGCTGATTGGACAGAAAAAGATGTCGCAAAAGCCCTTCCAGTCGCATCACTAAGACTTGAGTTTGAGCCACCAAGGTTTGACTGCAGCCAAATTTTCACATTGCATATTAGCCAAACATTATAGTAGTAAATTTTACAGCCAAACATGTAAAAATCTTAACGAACATTTCATCTTACAGAGAAAATAGCAGCTTTATGATCTAGGGTTGGAGCATAGGCCACAAGCATATATGAAGAAGGCTTACCAGTAGAAAAAAAATCATCAACTCAGTTTTGAAAAGACCAAATCAAACAGAAGTGGATGAAACTTGAAACTCGCAAGCAAAACCTACATCTCTTACCGCTAATACAGAGCTATCTCATGTCCACTGCAAATCCTAAAACTTCACTTAGTCTACCTATTCCTGGTTTTAACATTATTTTTCACAATATCTCCATTTCAAATACAATTTCAAAAGTAGCATGATGAACTATTTGGGACCACAAGATAATGATGCAGAAGCGCATCTCCAGATTAATTGAGCTCACTTCTGCCAAATATTCCCTTCAATACTATACAAAGAATGCAATTTCTTGAATGCTTGCATGGAGAATGTCGTCAGTTGATTAAATATTACTAAGCTTGTTAAATTTTTCTAATCAAATTTGATTATTGAAAATCTGTATAAAAATGTCTTCTGAAACAACTCTTACAAAAGAAATAGTACCCAATTTCAGTCGATTGATTCAATTGATAATAGTGAAAAAAGTGCATTCATTAAAAGAAGTGAATATTTAACAAGATAGATCTCTAGAGAATACTAAACTAGAAAGTGAGCATGCGACAAACAATTGGAATGGAATAGAATATGAACACACCACTCCCATGGCAAAGAGACCTAAATGGAGGATTGAAACATAGCACCATATCATTTAAATAAATATAATGCAATTTTCAGCACAATTAATTCAGTAAATATAGTTCATATAACTAAGTAAAAATTACACTAAATAAGATAGCATAGTACAATAACGTTTTGTGCAAATTTTCACACTAAGAAAAAAAAACCAGTAGCCTTGAATTCGATATAACATTTTCTAGGCTACAGCTGCGTAGTGCCAATAGCTAATGCGAGATGACCATGGTACCTCTTGGTAATAAAAGCCTTCAATAGTAGCCAGCCTCAAAACAGCATCAAAGTTACCCAAGTTTGTTAAAATATTTTAATAATCTAACAGAGATAAGGCCAAAAACATTATGGTTATAATGCAATCATAAGAACTGTACAGGCAATCAATTTCATTCCTTATGAAGTTTTAAAGGGCCACAAAGATGTTCCCCAATCCAGCACAGACAACCGATCAACTAAGACTTTAATGATAGTAATCTTTACTAAAAAGGTGGGTACATAAATCTATAAGAATTAAAAACACAGTATCAAACAAAGTAAAACTTAAACCTTTGATGATATATCCCATCAACTACATGCCAAGGAAAAATTGAGAGAAAAAAATAAGGCAAGAGAGAGAATTTGGAAATCTTAATCAAGTAAGAAATTCGAAAATTGAAGCTGTCAATGAAACAAAGAGAAGTACTTTCAAGGAAAATAAGCTTTATAAAAAGAAAATTCTTACCATAAAAAGATAACAAACTATCAAATATACTAAAAACCAAACCAACCAAAATGAAGTTTGAGAATATGAGAAAATGCAAAAAATTAAAACTTTTGATCCAAAAGAATACATTCCAATGGAAACAATGGAAACAAGGATGCCAAATTGTAGGATGCCAAATTGGTAACAAATATCTTCAATACATTCCAATGGAAACAAGGATGCCAAATTGTAGGAGAAAAGATAATTTGAGCAATATTTAACAGCAAAAGAGGCTATTACAATTGTGATAATCAAAAATAAAATCTTTTATGAGCCATACAGCAAAGTTATGAAGTAAGAAAGGGAAAAGGCGAACAAATCACATCAGTGATGCATAATTAGCATGGTTTACGGAAAAATAATCCAAAAATGTAGGGTAACTTTCTGCTAAGGCAATCGGTAAAGAGTATGGAGAATGTCATATGACAATAGGATCCTCATAGTGCTCTTTATTAGGTTAAAAAATAGCATATGATCTAGAACCACAAATTTTAATTGCCAGATATTGAGGAAAAAGTGTGCTTCAAAATATTCTGTAATTGCTATACAAATGCATGACTGATATTAGGAGTCATTATGGTGTAACCAAGTTTCCAATAATATAACTATATAAGGTTACATAAATAGAGAAGGGAATATGTATTACCTTGCTAAATACGTTTCGTTGATGGTGTAGTTATCATGGATAAAACCTAATTGATGTGAATGAAAGTAACTATAACGGAACAAAAGTTGAGGGCATAAAACTAATTGAAAGAATATTGAATACATCATATGTAATTACAATGAATGAATTGTAGACAATTATCAATCAAATAATAATAAGGACAAAGTAAAAAAGTTGATGACAAACTTGATGTCTGTTTGCTTTTATTTCTCAATGCTTAATGTTTGTTAGATCAACAGTATAACACATGATAGTCCAGACACGTCTCTAGGAGTTATATGTAATAATTAGTATAATGGAGACTTAAGGGTAAATTTTATAAAGCTATAATTAAAGTTTGCATTGTCTGAATTTCAAGCTTGAGCAATAAATATTACATTAATAATCAGTCTATGTAAAGTTAGAAAAGGGAATGTTAAGATACTGTATTACAAAAGTATGAAGAATTGAGTGAGCAATAATTATATTAATTAGACTTTGAGAGTAGGACTACTAAAAATGATGCCACAAATAATACTATAAGTAAATCTTAGATGATTTAGTTTATGTATGTTGGATTAATCTTAAATAAAAAAGAACCGGAATAGATAACTTAGGTGGTTTAAAAGAAAATGGCTTAGGAATTACATGTAATGAAACAATATCACAATAATTCAATGAAAAATTTATAAATTTGAGATTAAAATGTTAAATTGTATAGAACCTAGTATAAAAAAACAAAGAAATTACCAATTGAACAGATAAAACTGCTACATATAGAATGTTAAAATAGATGTACAACAAAAGTAGAAATTATAAAGTGAATGGATGCAAAGAAGCTATTTTGCACTTTCTAGCCCATACTGCTCCAAAAAGAGCTAAAAAGAGCACACTTTTTTAGTGCTTGAGCCTGAGTCTAAAATAGGGTTCTCCTTCCCGTCACTGGATCAGTTGTCTTTCTTAGTGTTTGGATTGGTAAAGTGACTTGGCCTTACACGAAAGCCAAAGCCCGCTCAGAAAGCGCCTGGCACAAAACCTATAAATTGACGTAAGGTTGGAACGGAGTGAAAAAAGAAAGCCTTTCTACTCACTTTGGCATTGTAGCCTGCTTTTTTTCCGACCCGACATGTTTCTTCTATCACATCAGTTTCTTATTCTTGAGGATCAGTAGAGACAAGAGACTGGGGAAATCCTATAGAACCCAATTCCTAATAGATTGATCCCAAAATAGCATATCCAAATTAGGAGAAATCCTATAGAAGCTACAAATGCCGAATTCGTAACTTGATCTTGCAATTTTGAATTTTTTCTAGTATGTAAATAAATTGCAAATATGGTCCAAGTAATAAATGCCCAAGTTTCCTTAGGATCCCAATTCCAATATGAACCCCATGCTTCATTAGCCCATACATTCTCCTTACCAACAACTTTGTTGAACAGAACTAAATCGTAATGTGTGAGATATTTGAACAGCAAAGCAGCAACAAAGCATAACTATACGAGACCTAAGAGCAGCACAACAAAAAACAAAAAACAAAAAACAAAACAAAAAAGAGCACAGTGACAATACTATTGTTTATCAATTAGTTCAGACACTTATTACCCTGTATCAACCTCAGCAACATAGCATCACCATTAGCAATGTACATAAAAATAATGAGAACAGTTTGGACAAAGACGATTTGAATATCCATCTCATTTATAATACCAGTTCAAATTTGTAATACTCAATTTGAATTTCTTGTCCTGTCATGGCATGCATTTTAATGAGACAACATCTCTGGTTTTCTGTAGCATGTTTCAACCTTTCATGGAATCTCTCGATAGAACAGATTCAAAAAATTCAGCATCCCTTTTTTTTCCTCGCAAATGAAGTTCTTATATCACTTATCAGAAGTAGGGCTGTTAAAAAAGCTCATTGTTCGCGAACAGCTCGTGTTCGGCTCGTTCGTTAAGTAAACGAGTCAAACACGAACAAGTTTTTGAAGCACGAATTGTAAACGAGCCGAACACGAACAGCTATTTGTTCGGCTCGTTTTAGCTCAAAATAAAAAATATATATAATTATTTATATAATAATATATTACATATATTATTTATATAATAATACATTATATATATTTATATCTAGGTTTAAAACGTAACTGCTCAGTTGGTAATGTGGTTATGCGTTTTTTTTTTTTTTTTTGGTCCAAGTTTAAATCCAGCAATTTTACATTTATTTTTTCAGTTTAATTTTAACGAGCCAATTTCGAGTCGAACACGAACACGAATATTTAAATCGAGTCAAACACGAACACACTGTTCGCGAACCAATTTCGAACACGAACAATTTCGAATGAGCCAAACACGAGACAAGCCTGAGCTCGCTCAAGCTCGGCTCGTTTACCAACCCAATCAGAAGCATACATTTCTCATTTCTAAACCAAATCTCATAATTCTACAGCCAAGTTACTTGAAATAATTATAACTCAGAAAATAATTTCTTTAGCTTCAGTTAAATTTAAGTTTTCAATTTTTTTTTCATGCGGTTTAAATTGTTTATACTTCTGCATTTTAATAAATCAAGTTGAATTTTTATATGTAAATCTTACAATATTATAATGTTAGTGGACTTATATCAACACCTTCCCCACAAGTCCTCTGATGCATGGTTAGGAAATAAAAATGGATTGTAAACAGAAAAATAGATAACTAGACATGGACCCAAAGCTATTGAGGATCAAACATAACATGGGCTAGATTTCAAAAATAAAAACATTGAGTGTATTCCTCCTCCCTTACAGCTTCCTTTTTTTCT